ACTATTTTCTCGCTTCTTTCCTCTGCCTCCTGGACTGTTTTCTGGCTTCCCCCGAGCTTATACGCCTCTGCGATGAGGGCTTTTGAGGAAGCTTCATCGGAGAGTGCAGAAAGTTCTTCCTCCGAGGCTGCAGGCTTTGCCACGAGGTACTTCTCCCGCATCCTGGCTGCTTCTTTCTGGAGCTTCTTCTGCTGCTCGGAGGAAAACGCCTTCAAAAGGGCCTGGCTTCTTTCAAGGAGACTCTGCACGTGGATCTGCCTCTGACGGGTCGATCTATTCTCCTGCAGGCGAGCAAGCCCGGAGATTTTCTCCTCTGCAGATTCCATCGTGCGTCTGAACTCCTCGGAAAGGCGGAGATCTTCCCCCGTGTCAGATCCCCCGGAAAAGGCTGCGTATATCTTTCCTGCTTCGTTTATTTGGGCGTTGGCGTCTTGGACCTCCGATAAGAAGGCCCGAAACGCAGAGTCTGAGTGCATTTCCCCTGGAGAGTGCGAGTACTTATTACAGCTCGAGCTCTTGGATTGGTGATCTTTCATTAGGGGAAATGCGCAGAAGTCGCTCGAGGATGCGGAGTATCTCCCGTGGGACGTGGGGGAGGGAGGGGGATGCGCTGGAGACGGGAAAACTCCCGTTCACCATCAGGAAGAGAACTACCCCGCAGGACCAAGAATCTGCAAGGAATCCGTTGTAAACTCCCCCCTCAACAGCCTCCGGAGAGGCATAGTTCACTGATCCCCCGTATGCTTCTACAAGGCCGTTCTTCAGCGCTCTCTGGGACATTCCGAAGTCTATGAGCTTTATCTGCAGGCGGCTGTTGATGAGAATATTCTCTGGCTTTATGTCGAGGTGACAGATTCTTCTCTCGTGCATGTAGGAGAGAGCATCTGCAAGTTCTCGGAAGATGTGCAGGGCAAGTCCCACGGGGAGGATCCTATTCTGCTGCAGGAGACTGAATAGCTCCACGCTCTTGAAGTACTCGAGGTATATAGTAGCTGTGCGCAGGAAGTGATCGTGCCCGAAGTATCGTATTATGTTCCTGTGCAGGAGTCCTGGGAGGAGGTTTGTCTCGTTTTTTACTTGGGCTTGGTTCTCCCTCGTGCGAGTGCTGATCATTTTCACGACAAGAAGCTTCCCCGTGGAGATGCTGCGCCCCAGGAAGACGTGGGAGTTTTGGTTTCTGCTGATGCTGTAGAGGATTCGGAGACTCACGAACTTCTGGGAGGAAAAACTCTCCTCTGCAGGGAGATCTGCATATGCGCTTCTTAAGGGGGCAGGGGAGGAGATGCTTCTGGCGAGGCCGTTGCTCGTGTAGACTTCGAAGTATATTTGGCCTTCTTCTTCTATCTTCTTAGTGGTGGGGATGTGCTGCATTGTAATAGAACTCTGAACTCGGCGTGCGCCCATTATTTCCGTCTGAGGAGTGTTTCTTGTTTGTCTATTTGTACGATAAAACATGCGAAAGAATGGATTCCACAGAGAGTTTGCGTGATGCAGAGAAGACGCGCAGTGTCTCTGATGATATCAAAATATTCTTGCTTGTCGGCCTTATATTTATTGTGAGCTATATATTCTCCGCGTATATTGAGATAAAGCCGTCCTTTTATGAGAGAGGGGCTTAGCCTGCGGGAATTTCGTATTTTTTGGGGAATAAAGCTACTCGCAGATTCTCCTGGACTTGTTCTCTCTTTCCTTCCTCTTCTTTTTCAGCCGGTTGATTATGTGCTCGGCTCCTTTCTCCTTCGCACTGTATACGGTCTGTATGATCTTCCGGTGCTTTCGGGAGGTGTAGAACGGGACTTTGCCCTCCTTCACCCGCTCAAACTCGCTCTTTTTTATCTCCTGCTCGGTTCTTCGGAGGTGCAGGAGCTTCTTCCGGGCCTCCACTCGCTCCAGCTGCCTCTTCACGTTCTCCCCCTGCTTCTGCCTCTCTGCAAGTTGCTCCTCCTCCTTCTCGTACAGGAATCCGTAAGTGTCGGAGAAGTACAGGGGATTCACTGTGCCCTTGAAGAAACGCGGATCCTTAATGGGCGCTGTCTCCTGCCGTGACTCCTTTCTCTCCTGCGCGCTGGAGACTTCCTGTGGCTTCTGGCTTTCCATTCTCTGAAGAAAAATTTACGCTTTTCTCTGGGGACTTCCGCCCGGGAAAGACGCTCTCAGAAAGACAGGCTGAAACTCCCGGGGTGTGCACATCTTTGCATGCACTCCCTCTGGGTCTACTCTCCCGTCCTGGCACAGGATATTTAAATACTCTCTCGCTAAAATTGGGCATACTCCACGCATAGCAGAAAAATACGCATTTATTCCACGGGGTATTCGAACATTATGCCAGCTGCAATACTCCAGAACAGGGAATTATTATGAGTATTCTCCCCTGAAAATTTAAAGCCCAGAAAACAGGCCGGGAAATGGACTGGCCCAGAGCATTCTCGTGCTTGGCAGAGATGTAGTGGTGCAAGCCCTGAAAAAGGCCCTTCTATTGGCAGGAATTTAGGCAAATCTTGTTGGCTCGCCATGCGAAAAAGTATTTAGCAAGGCATAAAGAGAATAAAAATACTTATGAGCGCAGTGAAGCACGTAATAATAGCTATCGTCTGGATTTGTGGGTATTTCCTGTGCGTATCCGCCTTTGGGCTTCCTACTCCGCCTGTGCCTCTGCCCGTAGACCCTGCAGCTGCAGCTGCTGCTTCTCCGCAGGGACAGGCTCTTAGTGCTGCATCTGCTGCTGCTTCTTCTCCCCCTGCAGCAACTCCTCCTGCAACTTCAACTTCAGCAACTCCTCCTGCAACTCCAGCTCCGGCAACTCCTCCTGCAACTCCTGCAGCAACTCCTGCAACTCCTGCAGTGAATCCTCCTGTAGCTCAGCCTGCAGTGAATCCAACTCCTCCTGCAGCAACTCCTGCAACTCCAACTTCTGCAACTCCTGCAGCGAATCCTCCTCCTCCACCAGCAACTCCTCCTGCAGTAGCTCAGCCTGCAACTCCAGCAACTCCTGTAGCTCAGCCTGCAGCAGTGAATGCCCCTCCCAGTGCAAGTTCGAAAGGAAATGACGCCTGCTTGTTTTAGCGTGCACTCAGGATTTGTTAATAAAGCATTTTTGTGCGTCTTTCCCTGGATTTTCTTGTGGGTATACGGTGATTTTTTTCCAGGCACTTCGCGCATGCAGGACCCTTTCGGGCACGCGTGCACTTTATACGCGTCTTTTCCCGGGGTCTCCCCTCCTCTTTCCCGGGTTTCCTGCAGGAATTTCGGCACTTTTCCCCCGAGAGTGCACAAAAAAAGAGCACAGCACGAGCCACGCGCAGGATCAGCTCGGCATCGTATGCCCTTCGCACACGCCCAAGGATTCCTGCCGGATTTTTCGGGCAATTTTTCGGGCTCTCTCCCCGGGGAAGTCCCCACGCGAAAAAAAAGCAAAACTCTTCAATACAGACGGATTTATTATTCTTTTTACACTTTCTGCACGCACAGAAGAGGCAGGCGCAGAGCACGGGAAATGAAAGCCCTGAACGGCGGAGCAAGAAGATCTAGCTAGTTGGTTTATTCAATTATATAAATACGACAGCACGCCAGACGCACGGCCTTCAACAGTATAGAAGCTTTTTCAGCGCACATTTGGAGTCTTTCAGACTGTTTAGAGCTCTTTCTCCCATGCTGCCAAACCCTGAGAAAGAGGGCAGTGGGTTGGTGAAGCTGGTATCATCAAAAAGACCGTTGTACGTATTGGAAAAGCCCTTTGGAATCAGGCCCAAAATAGACTTGTCTATCTCCTTCAGCTCTGAGAACACGCCCATACTGTAGTCCAGGAGGGACTTAAAGCCAAGTTTTCCGCTTATTGTGAGGCTGGTCTTTTTCTTCAGCTCGTCCAAAATGCACTTAAACCTGTAGCGAAGAGACTCTACCCCAGGAATCTGCAGCTTAACCCCTCTCCCCATTCGGCTGGTCAGGGCATCCAGGGTCCTAGCAAGGTCTTCAGTCAGGGATAAAAATCTGGTCTTATACCTCTCCTCCTGGCTGCTGAAGAGGGAAGACATTCCAAGACTTTTCCACTGCTTCTTTATCGATCCAACTGCGCTGAGCATGGAAGACCACACTGATCCCATGGGCTTCTTGTGATGAGGATGCAGAAATTCCTGCAGTCTCGCCATCTCTATATCCATGGACCCAGATATAGATGGAAGGTTCTTGAACAGGTTGAACTTTGGGCTTGTAAAGACCCCCTTGTAAGTCTTCAGCATATTCTGCAGGGCACTTGGAGACTCCTTTATTCCATCGACAATTCCCTTCACAGAGCCCACTGCCGTCTGCAGGAGGTAGTTTGAAGCCCCCTTTATGTTCCTTGCATTTGCATCGACTAACTCCGAGGCTACGTCCTTCATGGACTTCGTAAGTTCCTTAGCAGCAGACCCGGAGGTTACAAGGCCCTTCTTCACAAGGTCGGAGAGAAGCTGGGAAGATCGCAGCGTATTCTCAAAAGCCCCGAGTGTCTTATGGGCAGCTGCGGAGGTGTACGCCCTTGCAAGTCTTGCCTGTGCGAGGAGGTTTTTCTTCGCATTTTCAATTCCCTTTTTCACGAACTTCTTTTTGTTGTAGACATTTCCAATGTGGCTTTCAAAGTTCTCGAAGAAGCCCTCCTCGATCGAGGACTTTTTCCGGGCAGGACGTGTCCCGGGGAGGGGAGAAAATTCAGCTACATTTCCGCTGTACGGAATAAAAGAAGGATGAAACTTGCTAATCCTGTACTCCTCCTTTTTCTTGGGCTTTGGAGGAGCATCATACGGGTTACATCCGGAGTTAAGAGGATTCTCTGAAGTTTTTATTTCTCTGTCGGTGGATAGCAGGTCGGAGGTTCTGTCCTCGCTGCCCTCGTCGCTGTAGTCGGCGGGGTCGTACCGGACTGCTTTTGTGGAAATAGGCTTCACACTCGATAGAAGTGCATTCCTGGCGTACAGGCCGAGTCTTTGCACTAGCCTGTAGAGGAAACTACCTTTTTCTGCAAGCAGGTTCTTTTTTTTTAGCGGGCCCTTGGAGTCCCTGATTTCCAAGGGCGCGGTGGGATTCGTCTCTGAAGCTACAACGTTCGGAAGGTCTTTCTCCCGCATGGCAGGGTCTTTTGATGCGTCGACATAGAGTATCGCTGCTGTAATCGCAATTCCTAGGATGGATAGCTGCTGTTTCATGCGCCTGCATTTTCCTCCCTATTTATACCCCGTGTGTGATGCCTGATACTGTCTTATCCTCGTTTCATCTCCTATTTACTGCCGATGCAAAACTGTTTCGCATGCAGGAAGCAGCACAGACGGGGCTTTCTGGGGCTAAAGGAAGAACCTGCTGAAACGCACGAAAAGACCCTCTCCATCGGGCGCACACATGACAAAGTCCTTCTTCGCGGAAGAAGAGACGCGGACAAGCGCAGAAAGGGCTCTGAAAGAGGCTGAAACCTCTGAATTTAGCGTGAAAAGTGAGTGCACAGATCCAGGCTCCCCCAAGTATACGAGGTAGTCTGTTCCGTACTTTATTCCGCTTGTCACACGTGCCCCCGCCTTGGAAAAGCTCTTTTTGCACTTTTCCCTCTCGAAAGCTCCCATGCACAAATTTTTGCTCTTTCCCGCAGTCTCTTATGCAGGAGAGAATAGAGCAAAAACTGCCCAATTGCAGAGATCACAGCGTCCTCCCCTGAGCGAACAAAATCAGAGAATCCCCTGGAAAAAACGTGGAAAGAACCAATCAGAGCGCGGAAAAAGGGCAAATTCCCAAAAAAATCAAACTAATTCTCCTGATTTCAGGAAGCTCAAAGTATAAATAGAGGGCGGAAAAAAGAAAGTACAATGAAACTAACAAACGCAATATTACTAACAACAACATTCACACTTGTATATTTTGGGATTGTCCGCAGCGGATGTGGATCCCCTATGGGAGGCGGCTGTCCTCGTCCTTCACGACACATGGGAGGACACCATGGGATGGGAGGACCGATGATGCACTCAGGAAGACGCTCTAGAGGCGGCTGTGCAGGAGGAAACTGTCCTCCTCACATGCAGGGATGTTCTGGAGGAAACTGTCCTCCTCACATGCAAGGCTGCTCTGGAGGAAACTGTCCTCCGCATATGCAGGGATGCTCTGGAGGAAACTGTCCGCCTCAGATGCAGGGATGTGCAGGAGGAAGCTGCGGATCTTCAGCGATGAACACGTGCGGTTAAGGAAACTGTCCAAGACAAGTTAAGCGGGGAAGCAATTCCAGGGCTTGCAAGCACATAGAATAAATATTTATTCTAAAATCTCTAGCAGAAGCTGACTCTTTACAGGCTTACTGCATAGGCTTTCAGTGAATGTATACACTTATTTCTTGGAGACGGTTGTAATTCTTCGGGAAGTGCTAGTGAAATTCACAGCCTTTATTGTTTATTGGTGCTTATAGAGTGCTTAGCCTATCTCTTAGCATCAGTTATTTATCCCCTTAATTAGGTCCATATACGCAATACCTGAATTGAGCAACTGCTTCTGCGTAGAAAAGAGACTTTTTTTGACAAGATTGATTTCTGGAGACTTTTGTTTTTGATAAGGTTTTCTGCGCTTGAATGCGTTTGTTTCTTAACGCCATGCTGCAGTGCTTGTATAATGCAGTCTATGACTGAGGGGAAGTGCTTCAACAGGCACGGATAAAACGGGCAAATTCACTCTTTCTGAGATGGGGGTTTTCGGGAGTCTTATACTCCACGGGATTGGCCTGCTCTGTGGAGTCTGCGGGTGATTGGTGCCCGAGACTATCCCATTTATTTCTGGCGGAGAAGAAAGCGCTTTCTGAAATGTCGGTCATTCGCGTAGGAGGAGAAAAGCTCAGAACGAGCATAGAGTGCGAGTGCATCCCAGTTCTGGCAGAGGCCATTATCAGCGCACTCCACGCGTGCATAGACAAGAAATCCACAGAAATATCAGCAGTTAACGAGAAAATCAGCGAAAACCTGCACGGGATCAGGCCCATTCTTGCCCGCCTCGTGAATGTGGAGGGCATGGACGCCGTGAAAAGCCCAAGCACTTTGCGCGAAATACACATGCAAGTAATGACGCTAATAAGCGGCAGAATTGCATCCGTGCAGGCAACCCACAAGAAGATAAAGCACGTTCTGGAATCTCTCCAGGCAGGAGACTCTCCCAGCAGGAGCAAGCAAGTAGATGAAATAGCAGAGTCTTTAATTCTTGACCTGGACTGTATAGACCAAGAGCAAATAGAAAGCCTCTATTTTGCGCCCTTACTGAAGGAAAGTGCCAGAAAAAGGCGAGTATGTGCCGCAACAGGCCTATTCGGCCTTCTATCCCTCGGTGTTTTTGTGATTCTCATCTGCATCTACCGTTAAACTCATCAAAACTCACCGAAAACTCACAGAGAGCATTCCCACGCCGTGAGCGAAGTCCAGACAAAGTTCCAGCCCAAGTACTCCCGGTCCTACAGGCGGTACTCGGAAATGGGCATTGGAAAGTTGCAGCGAATCACGTACGCAAAGGCAAGAACTGTCAGCGCGAAAAGAGTCGCCCAAGTAATGATAGTTTTTATCGTGAGAATCATCGGGCTTGCAAACCGGAGAGAGGGCGAGCTTTTAATAAAGTCCTCCAGCACTCCGTCCAGCATATTCACAATGTCCTCTCGCGTGCTGGGGTATACTAGAGCTCTCCAACTGTCTGTGCTGGAAGAAGTTTCTGCTTTTTTCTTTTCCATATGCAATACATACTCTCCCAGGGCAGTGCGAACAGTCTCGTGCAGATCCTTCGAGAGAGAGTCCAGTACTTGGCAGGTCTCTCGCGTGCTTCTTCTGGGGTATATCAGGCTAGGAATATGCCCATTACCATCTGCAAATGCATCTACATATGCCTGCACTTCCTTCTCTCCCAGGCCAGGGATAGTTCTCTCTTCCAAGTATGCAATAAACATGTCTGCTACTTTATCGGTTTCCTGCAGGCTAATTATGCACTCTACCCTTTTCGCACTTTTTTCTTCCTTGCTGCCTTCCATTCGGATGCAAAAATTAAAACAAAGGCGTATTAAACCGGAGGACATTCACTTTATATCGTAGGAACCCGCAGGAAAGCAGAAGAGTCACTGGATGGTATAATTCAGGCATATGCACACCCTCTATGATCTCAGGCATCTTCCAGTTCTCCTGCAGAAAGGGTCTTTTTCTGGGTGTTATGGGTGGGTTTATGCTCTTATTCAACACTTCGAGCTATTCGGAAAAGCTTTCAGTTGTAATAGTTGTAATGGTGGAAGTAGGAACTTGCAGGGCATACAGGCGAAAGGAGCAGATGAAGAGTAGAGAGAATGGGCAAGTGGGAAGAAATTCAGAAGCAGATATTCGGGTTGTTCTTAATTTGTTCTTTTGCAAGGTCTTAGGAAATAAACATTCACTTTGGAAATAAACCTTCCCAATTTTATTTTTTCTTTTTTATTTTTTATTTTTGCAAATTTTTCAAAGAGCCCCAAAGCGCCAGTGCGTGCTGGAAACAGCTGTCAGCATGGGAAATTAATCAATAAATATAAATAGTTAAAAAAACACAGGAAGTTCTAGTGAAATTCACAGCCTTTATTGTTTATATCTGTGCTATCAAATAAACATTCATTTTTGCCGAAACAAGAACCAATCACGAGCAACTATGCCTTCACATAGAACACTCAGTTTGCCTATAGAGTGCTTAGCCCATCTCTTAGCATCAGTTATTTATCCCCTGAGTAGGCCCATATACGCAATACCCGAATTGAGCAACTGCTTCCGCGTAGAAAACTTTCACAAAAAACCAAAAGCCTCCAGAGAATAAAAACTAGAGACTACAAGGCAGGGGATATTTTGGAAATAACATTTCTGTACACGGCCAAAACACTTCTAACAACGTGCTCTATTGAGTCAGCAGATCCACCTGCAGCAACAGCGATGTTTTTCATCACTTTCGCAGAAATCCAGTCCGTGCAGCTACTCTCTGCACTCTCCTCGAACTCCGGGGCTGGGAACTCTGCAGGGTCCAGGACGGGCGCACTCCACCCATCCGTGTCCTGGGCGGCTGTTACCTGCAGATTCATCTGCTTCAGGTTCGCAATGTTTGACTCCCGGCAGAAGAAGTCCTGCCGCGTGGTTCTCTCCTTCCGGAAGACGGTGCTTTTCTCGAGGATCACGAGATGTCCTCCCACACTGCATATGATGCACCCCTCCGCGAAGTACAGGTAGAGATACGCCCCCAGAAGAGACTCGCTGAAAATCAGGTTCTTACTGGTCTCGCAGAAGCGTATTTGCACGAGGGCCTCTTTAAAGCGCAGGAATCCTTCCGTCACACTCTTCGTCTTTGTCACCCCGAGAAGAGTGCACATTTTCTGGAGGGCAGCGTCATTGAACACGCCAAAAACACTGCTGAAGTACTCCGGGCGGTTTGGGAAGGTTTTCTGCAGGAGGTTAACGATGCTTTGCGTCGTTATTTTGTGCGGGTGATTGCTCAGCGGGATGTTTATCATATACGCCTTCCTGAGCCGCATCCTGTGCATAAGAAAGTGCGAGAACATGCAGTCTTTCCCGTCGAATTTCCTCAGGAAGTCGTACACCGTGAAGAGGTTTCCCCCCTTCTCCTCCAAGTCCCGCTTCACGAGAAACGTAAAAACATCTGCAATTTCCTTGTACTGCATCGCAAGGTTTCTCTCACTCGCAGAAGAAACCCCGTGCGTGAAGGAGTAGTACATCTCCTTGTACCGGTGGAAGGCCAACTTCGGGATGGAGAACTCTGCAAGAAGGCCTGCTAAGTACCGCAGCCCCAGGAGAGCACACAAATCCCGCGGAGTAAGCGTGGAAATATCGTCTCTCAGCCGGTATCTGCGCTTTTTCTTCGTCACCAACCCGCTCGGGCCCTTTCTCCCCGTGATATCCTCAACTTCCTCGACTTTTTTCATAATATGCCCATTTGCACAGACAAATCCCCCGTCTACTTCTCTCGCTGCGAGTCTGCATACATTACATTGGAGCATGGATATTTTTTTAATGAAAGTTGTATTGTCTAGTGCTGCGCATATCCTCAACAAGAAGCAGTGCACAATCTTCAGCATAGATATATGGCCTGGAGATGCTTCGTACTTTATCACGGGAGGACAGGACGGATCTGTCCGGGCGTGGAGAGTATTTGGGGGAAAAACCACGGAGGAAGGCTCCTTTTCCAAGCACGCAGGGGCTGTTCTGTGCACGAGATTCTCCCAGGACGGGAATATGCTTGCCACAGCCTCAGACGACGGGAATGTGATCGTTTGGGGGGTTACAAAGACAGAAAATGCGTTCAAACTCCACACGAAGAAGAGACTTTCCGACCATAAATCAGACGTCTCCAGCATCGCCTGGGGGCGGAAGTACTTAGCCACGGGAGGATACGACGGATCTGTTTTTGTGTACGACAGGGAGAGCTTCCGCCTTGTGACCCGGCTGGAGAAGCACGAGAAGGGGTGCAAGGGAATTTCCTTCAGCCCAGGGTCAGGCTACATCTCAACGTACGGGGACGAGGGCGAGCTTTTCCTCTACAATAAGCTCCTGAAGAAAATTGCGTCGACAAAAAAGCCTTTCAAGGGCGTGCAAATGGAGTCTTTTTTTGCGCGGATGAGCTGGAGCCCGGACGGGAAGTATATAGCCTGTGGGCTTGCCTTTTTCGAGGGGCAGGACGCAGTTTCCCTCCTCACGCCCTCTCTCACGCGAAATTACACGCTTATAGGGCACGCTGCCCCCGTGGAAACGGTGGCTTTCAATCCGTGGCTCTGGAGGAGTGCAGGAGCTTCCTCGTACATACTCGCTACAGGGTCCCAGGACAGGAGTGTCGCTATTTGGAGCTCCTCCAGCTCTAAGCCGCTGATTTTGCTGAAGGAGGTCTCAGAGCAGCCGATAATGGATATGCAGTGGGCTCCCGAGGGAAGAGTCCTTATGGGATGCACGTACGATGGATCTGTTTTTCGGCTGGAGTTTGAAGAGAAGGAGCTGGGAGAGCCAGTAGCTCCTGCCGTTGAGGAGGACGTAGTTCTGCCGTACGCGAGAGAGTTCGTGGATGCGGAGAAGGGAGAGAAATTCCCGTCTCCCCCGGGGGAAGCCCAGAGCGAGGGCGGAGAGAAAAGCGAGGAAAAATCTCAAAAAACTCCGAGCGAAGAGCCGAAGAAAAAGAAAATTATCCCGAGGTTTATAGCCCCGCTCGAAGAACCCTCAAAAACAGGCGTAGTTAAGGGTCCTCGCGTGGTGCTTTTCACGCAGGCGTGCACTGATAAAAGCCCAGAAGTACTCCCGGGGAGGTGCATAGCCCACATGGAGACGCACGCGAAAGGCGTAAAGTACGAAATATCCGTGAAGGCAGAGAAAACTCTTTTGAGCACGCGGAGAAACGGGAGAGAGTGGTTTTCAACGGCAGGACATGCGATAAAGATGGTGGGAGCAGATGGGAGTCTCCTTGCGATAGTGAGTGCAGAGGGGGCACGAGCAGGGAAGATGGACACTCTCTGGATATACTGCCTCGAGAGGGGAGTTCTTCTCCTCCCGGGGATCCCCTTCAGGGAAATTGTTTCTGTCGACGTGAAAGGGCGGAGAGTCCTGGCAGTTGCATTTGGGGAGTTTCGGGTGATTGACGTGGATTTGCACACGACAGTTGAAGGATGCGTGGTGGGACACTCTGGGATTGTGAATATCCTGCTCAGTGATGTATACTTCCTGCTGGCGCTGTACGAGGATGGGACTACACAGTATTACGACCCGGGGATGAAAATGTGGTTTGTCCTGGAGATGAACAGTCCCTCTGCGTACTGCGAGACGTACTTGGGGGATGGGGAGAAGGACTGCACTTTTGAGTTTCTGGAGAATCGGTGTCTTGCTGGACTCCTGCACGGGGACTGGGACTTGGTCGACGACAGTTTGGAGAAGATCATAGGGACTGCAGCCAGGTCCGAGGAAAGTGCGCCTGGTCTCCTGAATCGAGTGAATGCCGTTATTGATCAGGTTGTAGGTGCACAGAACTGGCCGCAGGAGAAGGCTCTGCTGGTTTGCAACCTCCTGGTGAAGCATGCGGATACGGAGGAGTTCCAGAAGTATGCGCACACGAAGACGAGGGAAATACGCGAAAGAGCAGGTCTTCCCTGAGATCGGATATTATATCAGGGAGTTTGCAGTGTGCCTGAAGTTTCAGGTGCTTACTCGCAGCTGACTATTTTCAGGAGGGGTGCAGCTGCAGTAGTGGGAGAGAATGCAGGTTTAAGAAGGCTGGAAAAACAAATAAAGAGTGTAGTTTCACCTGGAGTTCCACTATTGCAACTGTAAGTGGGTATGCAAACAAGGACTGATCTAGCGAATAATCCGAGTGCCTGAAAAATCAGCAGAGATATTCCCGTGGCTGATTGCCTGAAGAAACAGAAGATCAGTTTTGTTCTATGTGAGAGCATATTTCTCGTGATTGTATATTGTCTGGACAGAACGTTATAAGCAAGAATATATTATGCTGTATGCTGAAGCATAGTTGCTCGTAATTGGTTATTGCTTAATAGGGTTAGCAAGAGGACAATATAAGTTAGACTTTAGGGGACAAATTAAAATAATGTCTGTTTAAGCTCGAATAAACAATAAAGACTGCGAATTTCACTTAGAACTTCCAGAAGAATTACAACTAGAATAGCCCGAATAAGTATCTAAGCGCTCGAATAAACAATAAAGGCTGTCGTGCCTCGTCAGTGGTAGCGAGTTAAACACGAGATGGTCTTCGTATAGGTTCTTGTTGGGAATGATAGTGTGTAAATTGTCATACGTCGATGTTGAATTTGTATACTTCCTGTTTTG